TGGAGATTAATAAGCTTGATAAAAAGAATATGTTAAGTCTAACAGATAACTAAACTTTTTAAAAGTGGCGAAGATATGTGTCTTTACATACGTCTTTTTGATATAGCTTGATCAAGCTTTGATTGCTTTTTCTCACAAAATTTAAATTTTCAAATAATTATCTACAAGTGTATTATTAAACGTGCGATATGTGCGCACATACCCTGTAGGAAATAGGAGCCCTAAATAATGCCTTACCAGCAACTTACACTTCACCGGGTGGTGCCTACCGACTTCTCTGAAAAATCGTTCTTAGTTCGGCACTCGAAAATAACTTCAGCGGCGCGTTATTTTGCAATGTACTAGATAATTCTCATCGGAGGTGTTCATTTTATACTTTTTCTAATAGCTGGCATTGGTCATGATGACAATTTTGGTACTAAAAGCTAAAAGAAAACACGGATCAGCTCGTAAGGTGCTTACCTACATATTTTCCCATTGGGTAATTATGTTCTAAATATAAGTGTGTGTATCATTTATAGGGTTACTGTTTTCCACATGTCGATCAGATGAACAGCTATCAATCATGTTCTATCGTTCTTTGTTCGAAAGGGATTCTCATAAGTACGCACATGTTAGATATAAACATACATATGGATCTACATATCGTTGCCTTAATATAGAAAGGCCCTATCTGACATCGTCGCTGATATACAAAAAGCCGTAAGTAACTAAAAATCGAAAATTTACGTTTTAATTGATTATGATGCATTTGATCGCATTATGTGGCCCCAAATCGTTTTATGCAATAAAAGATTTTAGTTAGTTACGGCTTTGTGCATTTCAGCGACGATGTGAGATAGGGCCTTTCTATATTAAGGCAACGATATGTATGTATGTACATTAGACTGCATCACTCCCCATACAAAAAAAAAATCGGTACTATTTTTCCATTGGAATTATAAAATCTATTATATTTTAAGACGTTCACCAAAATCTTTCGGAAAAATATTAAGATTTAAGATTAAGTGAGCTGGACCGATTTTAAAATACCTCCAAAAATGGAGTTTTTTATGAATAAAAATATTTTCTTAAAGATTTTTTTTGAAAAAATCCCCTCAAATGACAAACCGGTTTAAGCTTAAAATACTTGCATAAAAATATTAAAACAAATTAAAAAAAAGTTTGAACGGAATCGTAATGATGAGATTTTTGATGCTGTTTTTTAACTTTTTTCAAAGATTGGTATAGGAAAAACTTGAATAACTGAACCTAAACTCTTCCGATTTAGACTTAAGAGGTGTCATTGGAAAGGTATTTTCTCACCCTTTTTATTTCTTTGCTAATAAACTCATTCAAAGGATGGAAGAGAAAGGTAGGATGAACGAACGTCATTCAAAGTTGAATTAAGATGTGTTGGTATTCGAAAAAACAAAATGGGACACGAATGACGTTTTTTGGCCAGAAATAAAAAGTGTGAAAATACCTTTCTACTAAGATCCCATATGTCTAAATCACAACATTTTTGAAACAGATATTCAAGTTTTTCGTAAACCAATCTTTGAAAGAAGTAAAAAAACAGCATCAAAAATCTCATTCTTACGATTCTGTTGAAAAGATTTTCAAATATTTTTATGCAGATTTTTTAAGCTTAATCTAATTTGTCATCGGAGGGGACATTTTCAAAAAGTTCTTTAAGAAACTATTTTTATTCATAAAAAACTTCATTTTTGGAGGTATTTTCAAATCGGTCCAGCTCGCTTAAATCTTAATATTTTTCCAAAATATTTTGGTGGACGTCTGAAAATATAATAAATTTTGTAATCCCGTCGGAAAACCGCAACTTTTTTTGGTGATGCAGTCTAATGTACATATGTACATTACGATCCCAATTTCGACCCGCATATGCTTAGCTACTAAGGTGGTCACCTAAGCACATGCCCAGGACCCAATTAGTGCTGATAGCACCATTTTGATACGCTTTCTCTGGGATCATTGATTTTTTCTGCTTTCATTAGTCGTCGGTTTCGTCAAACCATTTTGATTTTTCGATGAATCTATTTAGGATAGTAACGGTGCATTTGGACATCTCCCTAAGATTTTGGATGGTGATATGTTTTAAATCAGTTGTCAGATTTTCAAAAAGTAATGCATTTTATTTTTAAAATCAACAATTTATTTTTTTTATAAAATCATAAAAAAACAATAACTTACTATTTAATAAAATGTTTTAATTTTTCTAGAACTCTGCTCATTAGCGTTTTTATTTTATTAATGTCTGAACCCGCATAGCTGCTAAAGAACACTTACTTTTGAAAACTTTTCAAGAGCGCCCTATTTCAGAATTCGTTTCAAAATCGCCCTATCTCAGCTGCCGATTCAAAAACGCCCTATATCAGCATTATTTCAATACATTTTGAAGTGAGATAGGGCGCTTTTGAACCGAATTTTGAGATAGGGTGTTTTTCAATTAAAATCTGAAATAGGGCGTTCTTTAAAAGTTTTTTGAGATAGAGCGTTTTCGAACTGGCTGCCGAGATATGTCGTTCTTCCACTCAGCCATCGATATGTACATATGCCTATTTATGGAGGGTGGCACATATTAATTGTTCTAGTATTTATTACTTTACATTTGATAAGCAAAAAGGTTTTCCGCATACCTGACAGAGAAGGCTTGAAGAAAAAATTATATCTTTGGTTTGTGTTTGTTTTAGATATGCATAGATCTCTTCCTCGCTGGCGGCAAAAGAAGCAAAATGCGATTTCGATATATTAATCTATATGGATACTGTTCCTTACTTACATTAGGAACACAAATTCTAACATCTTCGTCAAAAGTTAAATTGGAGGGAGTGTTGCCACTCACATATTTTTCCCCCTATCAAAACCCCGTACCAAAACGGTTTTGAGAGTACCAAAAAGACTTCGTTTTTTCTAACTTATTATTTTTCAATAAAGAAGAAAAAAGTTTTTAACATAAATAAGTTTCATTAGATTAAAAAATATTTTTTTCACGCAGAGAATTTGTCATACTGGCGATATACAATATTTTTTTTTTTTGCTATTTTTTATAAAAATATACATAGTTCATACTATACCAAAGAAATAAAAATCTAATTTCTAAACTCTGTTCAAAACTCAGGAAAATTTAATAAATTTGCATGCAAATTTCCAATTTTTTAATCAGATTTTTTAGATTTTTTTTTGAGAGTTTGAGCAGTTTTGTAGCCCTTAAATGCTGAACGTGGTCAAGTGTGTTCACAAACTACAAATTTATTACACTTCAAATTAATTTAGCTTCTTTACTTGTCCTTTACTCCATTAAAACTAACATACACATTTACTCATTGAAAAGTCCTATCGGCGATGACGTTTCTCAAGTAAAAGCAAACAAAGCCAAATAGGGGGATAAAAGAAACCACCCACCGGCGCCACCCAAGAATTATATTACGTATTCCCGACGGCACTGACATTTCACAAGTACAAGTAAACAAAGTCGAATAGGAGGAAAAAAGGAACTGTTAGAAAATTTAGAATCTGACTTTGCGAAAACTTTCGCGTATTGACGAATAATTGTATTGAGGCTCTCGTTTAAATTATGGGACTTTTAATTGACGAGTAAATACAGAATATAGAAAAATCTAAAATATAGATGGAAATAATTAATATTGTTTCCCTAACTGTCGCTTTTAAGGAAAACGTACCAAAATCTAAATCAACGTTCCAACTCATTATAAAAGTACCAGTTTGGTACAATAGAAATTTTAAAAATGTTTGGCTATTAAACATTTGCTAGTGCTTGGCCGAGCTCTTTAGGTGGTGGAAAAGTGTTCCCTTCTTAATTTAAGTACAAGCCTTTCGAGGTTGAGATTTCCTTGCATTGTTAGGTGCACATTTTTTGCTCCTCATAGGCGGGTGCGTATTTTGGCTACAACAAGATAGTGGTCCGGTAACGTACTTTTCGTCTAACACAAGATGATTGATTTGGTTTCTCGTTTTTGAATCTGGAAACAGTGCTGCAGCTTGATGGATTTTTTTATGCTGCATCTTAGCACTACATATTACCATGTTTCGGGCACCGCCAAAGTCGATCAGCCCCTGTCCGTTATCGGACGTTTCGTCGAGAAGGTTGAATTTTCTGGGAGTGGCCCCACAGATCCCTCCCTTACCCAACTTGGCATTTAAATCGTCAAGCACGATTTTGGTATCGTGTCGGGGCAGCGCCCGTATGTTTGCTTCAAGCGCTCATAGAAGAGATTCTTGGATGTATCGTCCTTTTCTTCCATCAGAGCATGGACGCAGATAAGAGAGATGCTGAAGAATTTCGCTTTGATACGCATTGTGGCTAGACCGGGGGAACGACAGTACTCCGCGATGGAGTCTCTCCCCCACCACAAATCAAACACTTAATTTCCTCTCCTTTACGTGGCAGCTGTAGTAGACGTCCCAAGGCTCCACGTTTTCCTTGTCTTGCCCCGTCCATCGCATTTCTTGGATGGCGGTGATGTCTGCCTTTATCTTCCCGAGGACATCAACCAGCCAGGCAGAGGCCCCTTCCCCATTTAGGTTCCGAAAATTCCAGGTGCATACCTTCAAATCATAGTTCTTTACACGTTTACCGTGGTCCTCTTCAAAAGATGGAGGTCTCGTCCGAGGCACATTCTTAGTTTTCATTGGGAGACATTTTAACTTGGCGGCACCCAAACCCAGCGCACTCGAGGTCGGAAGCTGCGATTGAACCGTACGCAAAAGAATCACTTTTGCCCACTCCCAGGTGAATGGCAGTCAAAAGGCTTTACTTTACTTACGTGGGCTTCTGCGCACGGAACCATCCTCCACGTACCACCCTAATGTCGGTAATTTAAAGCCCACGAAAAATTATAAAAAAGTACGAAATTCCTTTGCACAAATATTATTTTTGTTAGCTTATAAGAACATATGTATGTATGTAAATATGTACCATATTTAACCTAATTTTGTGACTCACCTATTATTTTCATCCATTTATCATTGCAGGCGCAACAAATGCGTGCGGTTTCTAGTCCATCGCTCACAGATGCTTTGCAGGAGGAAGAAAACGACGCTTCCGCCAGCAATGCTGCTCAAACCGAATTAAAGGATTTTAATCCGATCTCAGTTTCCGGTGAATCTACATCAACCATGGTCACCGCAACAACTAAAAACAGCAGCAGTGGCAGCAGCGGCAGCGGCAGCGGCAGCCATAGCAACAGTAGGCCATTGAGTCTGTCGAATAGTCAAAGCGTAGGTGTGCTGCAGAAATTCAAACGCACGCTTACAAATTTCAATAAACCAGCGCAACAGCAGCAGCAGCAGCAACCACAACAGATTGCAAGTAGTAGCAGCACACAAGGGCTTGTATTGAGCAATGCAGCAACCGCATCTTCCGCAACAGCCGCAAATATTAGTGGAGCAGCTAGTAATGGTGGAAGCAATTCGTTGACAATAGAAAATCCATCAGAGACCACATCAAATATCGCCATAATGGAGGGTAGTGCAAGCAAATACCGCTTTGGACCACTCATTTGGCGTTCATCAAAGGAGCGTCGCAAGACAAAGTACAATCGACGTGATAAGTGTAATAGCGGTGATTCTGGTATACAAATCGAGCTGGATAATGACGAGCAATTCTCGCGCATTTTGGTGACTGCGAATTGTGAAGGCGACAACAAGACGGCTAGTACGAGTGCGGCAGCAGCAAATCAACGCGGCACAAATGAGAAGGTATGTATGTTGTGAAGGGTCATTATTTATTATCCCTAATTAGGACATATGTACATATGTATGTATGTACATATCGTCGCTACCCTGTCAAGCTGTCGAATGCTTTTTCAAGTGCGATACCTTGCGCATGCGTTTAGAATGATGCGCAAATTGGCAAATCCTAAAATTTCTAGTCTTCTTAGAAGCAGAGGATACTGGCATTTAGAAAGTGTCGAATTCCACACTTCTTCGTAATGACAACAGCATTTTTTACAGCAGTTTTTTTGCGCTACTGGAAAATACTTATTTTCACATTCGATAGTTTGACATGGTAGCGACGATATGTACTTAAGGTTAGGGTTTTGGAATAAAGTAGTACTCGGACTTGGAGTACGAATTCCAGATACGGTTCTCATGGGAACAGCAAACCATGCGAGTGTGCATTGGGAATAATAAAAAAGAGGTATTTCAGGCAATTTCGGACAATATTAATTATCGTTTGTTTTCAAACTCAGCTGAAAGTCACAGGTGTGTACTAACTTTCTCATGGTTCACAAGAACCTATTGGATTCCTTGGATTTGCCGATTTCCGTTCTCTATATTCTACTTCATAACACTGTTCGGGAGTCGGCTGGGGAATAGATGAAACCGAGTTTTTCTGAAAGTCTGGCGATTTTAAGCGTTTTTTGTCAATTGATGTTCACAAAGCAACATTAAAACCATTAAAATTTATTTAAATGCAAATATTTATACCTTTTGATGGTGCCATTTTGGGGGCTTTAGGATCCGAGGAATCTGAATTTGCAATTTAGTTTTACCAAAAACGGCCGCTGGGTGCGTTTTGTTACGCTTTCATGCAAAAGAACATGATGAAACATTGCTTAGCAACATTGTTGAGAAACATTGTTTGCACTTTTCCTTCATGCTGCAAAAATAAACTGCAAATTCAGAGCGAGTTCTTAAATAGGGCGTTCTTGAAAAGGTTTCTGAGATAGGGCGTTTTCGAACTAGCTTTCGGGAGAGGTCGATCTTCCACACAGCCGTCGATATGTACATATGTATGTATGTATGTATGTATATAAACTCCTGTGTACAGAGAATTTGATTATATTTGCCCCTTTACTATAAGCCTACATTTAAATAACTAAGCCACTGGTTAGTTCACTTTCGTACATCGTGCATACTTTAATTGGCATTTAATTAACTGGATTTCCCTTTCAAGGTCACACTGAAAATGCGATCTGTGCGTCGTGTTAATTCGGCCAAAGCGACCAGCATCACGGATAAATCGGCGACAGCGGCACTTAATGGGAAAGCAAAAATACTCAAACGCATAGAAATTCAAGGTGGCAGCATGGAACGCGAAGCGCCCGAATCACTACCCGCGCGCTCATTAAGTCAACCCAATGGCTTGGATACTTGCGGCATTGGCCGAGTTGGCGGTAAGACAAATTAAATAAGCAACACTTTGAGTGAACTTGCTTGTATTTAATGCGTTTGGTTGTATTTATAATTTTAGATTTGGATGACAGTGACAGTGATAGCGTAACATCACATGAGGAAGGTAAGTTGGGCGCGAGTTTTGAAATTACGAGTAAATCCTATTGCAGTACACTTTGCGGCTGCTTTGACATAGTGTAGCGCAATTAAATTCAATTAACGTAGAGTACCCTTTCGGCTGTCTGCATTTTAATTGTTGTCTGCCGTATACTTTCAGTATACATATGTACATTAGGGCGGAGTAATTTAATTTCGTAAAAAGTGTATGGCATATACGAATTCTATGTTCGATTCTAAGCAAAACTGGTGAACGAACTGTATACCAGAAAGGACGTTTGACCCTCCCAATTTTTAAAAGAAAAATGCGTTTAATGATTCATGAACGAAATTAATTTTTCATTTACGAAATTGTGTATTTTCTTCATACAATAAACTACGTCATTTTTAGTGTATAGTAGTGTGTTCGCCATTTTTGCTTAGAATTAATCGTAGAAACGAATTTGCTATACACTTTTTTCGAAAAGATGTTTCCGAACAAATTACTCCGCCCTAATGTACATACTTACATACATATGTCCTTCATCTCCCCCTCTCTCTTGCAGCACCCAACTATTACCCGATTTACGCTGAAGTGCTGTACAGCTTCACCGCCGCTGGTCCGCAAGAACTCGGCCTGGAGCGTGGCACATTAATCGAAATTCTACGCAAAGAGGTCGGTCCCTGGTGGTTTGGACGCATACGGAAAGAGGAAAATAACACACTGGTCGAAGAGATACTTGACCCCGAACTCGGTTGGTTTCCCAAGGAATTTGTGCGCGTCATACAATGCCCCAAGACGGATGTGTTTTTCCTTTCGCAAATGGCAAATGTCGCGACATCTGCCCAAGTACAACAACAACCAGCGACAACAACAAAACGTAGCAGTTTCAAGAAATTTGCTACAAAATCACAAACTGCGTTCCACTCTGCTACAGCCCCACCAGCGCTGCCGCCAACAATGACTGCCTCTGATATAGCATCGGAGGTTGCTTGTGACTTAGATGCGACTATTGTCGATGAGAATAATGTAACGACTATTGTGATTGAATCGCCCTCGTATGCGAGCCGACCACCAAGTGCTTCAAGCGGTGGTGGTGGTGGTGGAGTTTGCGGAAGTGGGGATGCATCAAATGCCCTGGCACCGTCGCGTAGCATCAATGTGATACTCGACAGTGCGGAAATGTTGCGACGCAGCGCGGTTAAAGAGTTGCTCGACACAGAGGTTAACTATGTGAAACTGTTGGCCGCCATATGCGAGGGGTAAGGAATTGATAAAAATTGTTTTTTTTTTTTTTTGAGGCCATAATTTTATTTAACTAATTCACTTTCGATCTTTCCTTTTGCAGCTATCTGCCCGCAATGAGCAAGCGTATTGATATTTTTTCGCCGAATAGTATTCGTTTGATTTTCTCAAACATTACAGCGATCTATAAGTTCCAACGGAAATTTCTAGAGGCGTTGCGCAAAGGCATCGAGCAGAATCAAGTCGCTAAAGTTTTCCTGAAAATGGTAAGTTAACGTTTTCATTTATTGAGCACGGGGCAGTTAACTATAGGTGCATATGTAGATTTTCAGTACAAAAATGTTAAGCTATCCGTAGAATGTGACTTAACCCTGGACCGTGAAACCGGCCCTAAAATAAACCATTGTACTTGTATTTCAGTTGGAGCAAAATATACTTGTTGACTTAAGTTATAATAAAAAAAAAAATATTACTATCCTATTTATGGGGCACAATAGATCTCTCAGTCGCAGTGCATACCTCTGTTATCTATCTAGTTTATTTATGAAGATTCTATAATGTTCATACCGTATTTGATATTTAACTTTATTTTTCTTGCAGCATAAGGGATTCCTCTGCTACTCAACCTATTGTAATGCATACCCACGTGCGCTCATAGAATTGGAAACGTATGATCGTATTAAAGATGCCAAAACTATTCTAGACAAGTGAGTAGAAATAGTATTTACACTAGATCTGCATAAAAGGACAATATGTTCATATGTATAAGTGGTTCCTAGACCCTTCTTCTTCTTCTTCTTCTTTTTTGACGCTGTAACCGCCTAAGCGATTTTAGCCGAGTTCAGCAAAGCACGCCAGTCGTTTCTCCTTTGTGCCAACTGACGCCAATTGGAAACGCCAAGTGAAGCCAAGTCCTTCTCCACCTGATCTTTCCATCGCAGTGGGGCCTCCCTCTTCCTCTGCTACCACCAGCGGGTTCCGAGTTGAATACTTTCAGAGCTGGAGCGTCGGTGTCCATTCGAACGACATGACCAAGCCAGCGGAGCCGCTGTATTTTAATTCGCTGCACTATGTCCATATCGTTGTAAAGCTCATACAGCTCATCGTTCCATCGTCTGCGGTACTCGCCGTCGCCAACGCGTAAACCCTTCACCCCTCCTAAAATAAAGAAAAATGTTATTGGAAAACGCAAAAATATGTAGTACCGAATCGAGGATGCTCTATATTTTTGTCGTATTTCTGACTTCCGGTTTCGACCGGAAACGGCTAAAACAGACCGGAAGTCCATCTTTTTAAATTCGACATACACGTTTTTAAAACAGATTCGGATTCTGCGAACGAAAATACGTAACTATCGGAAATTTTTTTTTCTGAAATGGACTTCCGATTTAAAGAATGGACTTCCTGTCTGTGCAACCCATCCTCCAGTTTAGAAGTCCGGTACGAGTTGAATTTCGAAGATCGTTTAGATGTCGAAAATGGCACTTCCAAGAAAAAGGTTTCAAGCAAAAGTTTCGTAAGCCGTAAGCCGCCTTCGATCCGCCACTTCTCTGTTTGCTTGAGTTCATCCCTGGCGCGTGGCGAAACGAACGAACTCAATGAGGTACAACCAAACTCGCTATCGTCCATCCTTGCTAGCTAACTTTGTTGTTGTTTTCACATGCAAATTTTTCGTTAAGCGAGCAAATTTATTTTAGACCCATGGTTCCTTTGGCAAATTAGCTTAGAATTACTCATAGAATCCTTCTGTGATATAGATACGCGCATAGTCGAAAAAATCTCACATACAAATTGACCCGACTAGTGTACATTATATATTGAATTCCGAATTTGTTCACTCAGTTTGTACTATTTATCAGTGATTTATGTGCCGCTTTAGTCAATGAAGTTTTTTGCCTTTTCTGATGACCCCTAAACACTGACGATTTCTGGCCGAAGAACTGAACAAAAAGATTTTCTAAAGTCTCTTTCGAAGGTAGTCTTTAAAAATGTATGCGTATTCAGAATCCAATACTACTGGGACGAGCGAGTAGCCGGGCTATGTAATGCCTTTATCAAATTTTTTTTAGCAAACGCACCCAATTTTGTACCAAGTCTCCCAGGCGAGAGGGTGGTATTATTTACTCTCGACCTGTTTCTCGGAGTTTTCACTAGAAAAATCGTTTCGTCTATGACTTTTCGCTGCCGGTTTGGTGAAATCGCCTGAACACCATCTGCAAAGTGAGGCATGAATGATCCCTGCTAGGGCGCGCGACCTAATCCTTAGTCTTAGTGTCTGAATGGCGTAAAGTCACCAGACGGCATCGAGACAAGCCATTAACGACATTCAGAGAGTTTCCGTTACCGTTTCCGTTCCGTGACTCTCGCCCCATGAATACTGTTATTGAAGGCCACGCCCACCCAAAAGCAGACACGTAACCATCCAGACTCGACCGCGACATACCAAACACATTTCCGACTTTTGGGGGATTCTTCTCGCGACACCAGCCATCTCGTGCCTGCCCATTTAAAATCACTCAGCTAACTAACACACATCCCTTTGGTCAAACCCCAATGGAACCAACAGGTTTCCTGGGGCCTACAGTTAGTTGACGACAACGATGGATGGACTAACCGATTAGGCGAGGCTTGGTAGTACCACTACAGCAAGATTAACAACAACGCTTTACAGACAGACTATTAGAGTACCATTTTTACAAATACGAACATCGTCAATGTCAATGGAGTTGCACCAGCACCTATCGTAGCTTCAACTGCCTCGATAGATCCGCGATTACGATCTCAAACAACAAAACAACAAAAGTAGTAGATAGTGACTTTCTGCGTTAGAAATCTACATATGTCTGTACATATATTCACGATTAAAATATCCTTTTTCTTGTATGAGCAGTTTTACATTTGTTCAGTTTTAACTTTATGCGAATCTAAATGAATTTTCCGTTCTTTCTTCAGTTGTCGCGAATCGGAGAACCTTGCTGAACTGCCTCTCTCGGCGCACCTCTTGGCACCTGTCCAACGTATCTGTCGCTATCCGCTGCATCTCAGTGAAATTCTGAAAGGCGCAGCCAAGCGTGGCGAACCACCAGAATATGAATTAGCACAGTATGAGCAATTTGATGTAAGCCAAATGGACATACCTGACACATATGAAAAAATCGACTTAGCCTTGGAGGCAATGCGCGGCATTACTGAAGCGGTCAATGAAGGTATTAATAAACCGCCGAAATGAATTAATTTAATAAATACTAAAATGAAGTTTTTCGTTTACATTCTCACAGGCAAGCGTCACAGCGAAACGATTGCACGTCACCAAGCCAGTTTTCAGAATTTCAAAGGCCCGCCACTTCATCTACACAGTACACGTTTCTTTTTGCAAATCGATGCTACGCGGCAGAAGCAAAATCTCTGGAACAGCAGCTGTACGCTATTTCTCTTCGACAACCAGTTAATCTATTGCAAGCGCGACATCATTAAACGCAGCCAATTCATCTACAAGGGACGCATCTTTCTTGATCGTTGCCGCGTGGTAAATGTGCGCGATGGCAAAATGTTTGGACACAATATAAGAAATTCACTGCGTATCTATTGCGAAGCGCGTGACAAATGGTTCGACTTTAGTTTTCGCTCGGCAAATCGCAAGCACCGTTTCCTCAGCACCTTGGCGCTGGAGCGGCAATTCGGCGGCAAGGCATTCTACGTTTCGGAAATGACCGGCTTCGAGTACGCCTACGATGAGCGTGACTACTCCGATCAATCCGACTATGAGTTGCCCGATTGTGAACACAGCAATAGCAGCGGCGGTGGCGGAGGCGGTGGCGGTGTCACTGTAGGTGGCAGTATCACTGTAGGTGGTGGTGGTTTAGTTGGCGCAACGCGACATTGGTCCATGGCGGATGTGAGCAATGCGAATGCCGGACTCGGTACATCGGCGACGAGTGGTGATAGTTCAGTGCCTGAATCGCCAGTTAAATACAGTGATACGCTGCCGAAGAAATCGCATACACGCGAGTCAGGCGGCAGTAGCGGCACGGTGAGCGAGTGTCAGACGGGTTCGCTGGGACGTCGCCGCCTTGGTAATTGGTTCCGCAAACCAAAGAGCAGCAACTCAACGCCAAATCATTCGCCGACACATAAGGCAAACGAGCTTTCCGCGGTCGCACTGGTGGGCGGCAGTGAGAATAATATTTCCATTAACGTGGGTGGGGGTAATTACATCTCTTCTGGCTCATCGGCATAAGGTGGTGCCAATGGAAAATTTTCAACAGCATAATTGGCAAGCAAGATTGAAATATCAATTAGAAATGAATCTCCATAAAAAATACTTAGATAAGAGCAAAAGGCGTTATCATACAGCCAGTATATGAAATTAATGGGCATTAATGTTCACAAAGCCAATGGCTTACTTGCAGTCTTATCAAAATTACGAAACATACACAGTGATTGCGCTTTGCTCTCTCTCTCTCTCACTCTCTATCTGAGTCAATTATAAATGCTAAAGCAAGTGATTGTATTTGTTATTGAGTTCGTGTTGTTTTATTAAAAGAAAACTTTCGAAATTCCGACGATTTTATTATAAGAACCCCGGAAAGTTCATGTATGTGGCGGTGATGTTTGAACATTTTACATTTCCTAACAGAGAAGTGTACTTTGAAGACATAAATATGTAGTCAGTTGATGTAATAGTCATTTAAATATGCATACATACATATGTACATGTTAGTGATGTAGGTTTCGTTGTATGGTAAACGTACCCACGTTTGTAGTAGACACATATTCTAAAAATAAAAAGTTCAGTTAATTTTCAAGATTATTTTAAATACTTGGTAGAGTAAATTTAATCTTTTCCGATTCCTTAACTAAAAATGTGCGAAAATAAATAAAAAAAGAACATTAACGAATGAATGTTAACATTAAAAGCAATTGTATAATGAAACATTATAACGTTTATAGTAAATATAACTGCACACATGGATATGCTAAAAAATGTACACAAATATTACAATACCAGAAGATTTGTTAAAACAAGTGAAATAGAGTTAAAAAGAAAAAACAATAAAATAATAGCAATCATGCCGCCAAAGCGAATTGTATTAACTTTAATTTGAAAAAAAAAATTTGTTATTAAAAGTGTTTAATTAAAGGTTAATTGTCAATAAGTCAAAACCAAACATACACATACATACATACATACATGCATATGTAAATGGCGGGTATTTTATAAATAAACATTTATATTTAATAAATTGATTTATAAAATGTTTTGTAAATAAAAAATTGAATCCGTTTACATCAAAGCGTTGTTTGTACATTTACTTAAGTGTAAGTTATGCATACGTACATACATACATATGTACATACGTGCATATGTAATACATAGTTATTGTTATAAAAAAAAAAAAAAAAACAACAAAGCAAAAACAAATCGCAAAATCTACACTTGAACTAATTTCGAAAACTACTTGCAGTACTGTGCAACTGTAAATTAACAAGTAACATATTAATTCATTTCTTCTCTTAATTTATTATTTTGTGTAATAAGTTTGATTTAACATTTCGCCGTTGTATTTTATTTAATATTAAAGTTTTTACTTAAGTTAAATCGCCTGTTACTAAAAAATTAAATTAAATGTAATAAAATAGAATACATATACTCATACAGAAAAACTCTTGGCTTTTATTAATTTTATTTTGTTTTTATTTTTATTTTTTTTTAGTTTAGCCTTTTGCGTTCGCTTTTCTCTTTCCAAATTGTTTGAAATGATCAAATCGGTAGACCAAAGCTTCCACGTAGCAACTATTCTAACTGATAAAAGAAAACTACAACTATGAGGAACCAGCACAAAAAGCAGCAATATACTCAGCATTAATAAAATTTAAATAAAAACAGTTAGTTATATGTATCTGTTGCACTTCTGACAATTAGACTTGCGTTGCATTGCAGAGGCACAAACCTTTTTGATGCAATGTGGAATAAAAAATAAAGAAATAAAAACAAAACCAAAAAATAAACATTTTAATTTGGCTTTTTTAAGAATTAAAAAAAAAGGTAAAACGCAATATTTGCAGCAATAATAAAATAATAGCAAACACAAAACGCAACATGGTAACCTACCCACAGTATTTACATAATTGTTAGAAGCAAATGTAGACAGAAACACGCATGCACACACAGACATACTACCATTACAACTATGCCTATAATGAAGATTCAAATGTTAAAGGAATGCTTACAATCCAAAGTTCTCGAAAACCATATAATGTAAAATCATTTAATGTATCCACAGGATCCCCGCCACTCTCGTTCGCCAGTTAAATTTCCATTTTTCGAATGAAAATTAGAAATGGTCTTTATGGTTGCTTTTAAGATATATTTCCCCCGTTATTTTCTCACAAAATCAATTCTAAAATGCGGGTGAAATACACACAGTGGGGAGCAGAAATGAGTGCACGGTGACTTTTGTTAAATATTTGCATGGTTTTTAAAGTAAACAATTTTTTGTTATTTTTTCATAGGAAACATTTAATTAAAAAAATATTTTTAATTTGCCATCTATACTGATATATATTTTGAAAACCGTTTTTTTTTCTATTCGAAAAACTCGATAACAGCTGTACCGATATTTTTGAAATTTTGGACATCGAGTATAGACCCTCAAAGGATGATAATAGAAGAAGAATAATTTCGATATGTCAATGGGCGTGGCACCTCCCATATAAACTAAAGTTTTCACACAACATATCTCTGGAAGTATTCATCGTAGAGTGCTGCAACTTAGTACAGAGATATATAATATCAACGTCAAATTCATGGAAAAAATGGGAGTTATTTAAAAAGGGGGCGTGGTACCTCCGATACAAACTGAATTTCTCAAATTAGAATTTATATGTGGTGTGGTGTGTGCAAGGATGAGGCTAAAGACACTCTGCCAACAGAGTGGTTTAGAGAATGGATGGGTAAATTCGATATTCGAAGCTGCGAGATTCGAATATAAATCGATTTTTAGGGCAAAAATGGCCAATTTCTGAAATCGAACTTTGTGGTGCTAAATTTCGGATAAAATCGCTCTTTTCTAGAACAAATCGAATTTAGCGTTAATTTCCATAAAAGTAACTTTGCAACTTTCTTCATTCTGACTAAATTTGCTATCATTGTCTGTGGCAACATATTTGCCTTTGGGATGCAAGTCAATAAAATACATCGACGTTTTTTCGATCTAATGCGACCAAATACAGCATCGATGCATCATATATAAATTGAATTAAAAATATACAAGAAAATGAAACAATTGAACTTCTATAAATGTGCTGACGTGCAATAATGTCAATGACATTAATACACTGTCCAATTGATATTAGGTCACTTTGAAATTGATTCACCCTCTAAAAATTAAAAATGTAATGTTATAAAAATAAATTTTGTTATTTAGACCTAAATTCACAAAATGAAAGTGTGTTTATGTCATCGAAAATATTACCTGTGTATTTATGTCATTGACATTAATTCACTCTGCAGTTGTCTATTAATATCAATGACATTAATTCCATTGCCATTATTGCACGTCACCATACATGTTTAAGTATTAACTCACAGTGAAATGTATTTATTAATTTAAACAGTTACACATCCCAGCTATACAAATAAATTCATCAAAAATATATACGATTTTGGGTGGTTTATGATCTTAAAACTTTATCTAATGCTTGGTTTTCATTATGTCAAAGTTACTGACATCAGAAAACTGCCTTAACTAACAGCTGTTCACTTGGTGTCAAATAAATCATAAAAACTGACGAAATGTAGATCGTCGTCGTTGGTGTCAAGTGATTGACATTCCGTTTTTCATCACTGATGTCGAATGTGAGGTGAGATTTTTGGCATAAGTCAAAAATCCCAGCCATTTAGCTATGGACAAACAAAAAAATGTCATTCGATACACTCCACATGCCCCATTATCTATTTTGTTCCTTGTTTAAGGACTGAATCGAACATAATTTGTAACTTTTGAAAATGCCCAAGAGATGGCTGTCAAGAAATACTATTTTTTTTTCAACGGCAATGCTTTCTTCAAAGCGTCAAATTTTATTCTCAGTTTGAACTTTCCCGTTAAAGCACATAGTTTTGGTGTAAAAATGAATCAAGAACAACGGCGCAAACTTATTGTTGACAAATATCATGAAAATCCACAAAGGCCGCGGCATTTTATTGCAAAGGAATTAAAAATCGCGCGAAGTACGGTGGAATCGGTACTGAACCGATATTTGGAGTCACTGACGGTCCAGCGATGCCCAAAACGCAGCTTTAAAATTGGTCCTCGAGATCAACTTTTGGACGTGAAAATAACATCAGTGATAATGAAAAACCGAAGCATGTGCTCTAGAGATGTTGCGAAAAAATGTGGAACCAGCCAGTCTATGGTGCAAAGATGCAAGAAGAGAAATAACTTAGAAACTCGGAAGAAGCAAAAAGCAGCAAAGGTTAGCGAGAAGCAGAAAAAAACTATAAAAACACGAGCCCGAAAGCTGTGCAATTTGATGAGAGAAAAAAAAACTTGCATCATTTTAGACGATGAAACCTACGTAAAAGCAGACTTCAGCACGCTTCCAGGACCACAGTACTACACGAAGTTTAAGGGCGAGATACTCCCAGATGCAGACATTTCAATCAATATTGAAAAATTTGGAGCTAAATATCTTGTGTGGCAGGCAATTTGCCAATGTGGCAAAAGGACCCCCTCATTTGTGACAACTGGCACAATTAACGGAGAAATGTACATCAAGGAGTGTTTAAACAAACGATTGCTGCCGTTTGTAAGAAATCATGGAGGAGCCACACTGTTTTGGCCGGATTTAGCTCCAGCCCACTACGCGAGATCCACCATTAACTTTCTTGAATCCAAAAACATTGACTTCGTTCCAAAAATAGTGAACCCGCCAAATGTACCGCAGTGTCGGCCCATTGAGAGGTATTGGGCATTAGTTAAAAGCAAGCTAAGAAATACCAAGGAAACTGCTAAAAATGTTCAGGATTTCGGCTTGAAATGGAAAAGGGCCACAAAGCAGGTCAATGACAGCACTGTCGTAAGGCTGATGAAGGACATACGTAAAAAGTTGCGGCAGGAGTGGGAAAAAATGTGATCTCGAAAATTTTTCGAAAGTAAAATATTATTGCGTAAAATATGCAATGTTACAACAAAATAAAAAATTAAAAAAATTCAACTAGCCTACTTGTTTATACTGCTTAAAAATTTCAGGTTACGTTCGGTTCAGTCCTTACTTAAAGATCCCGCTTTTTTTCATTAAATGTAAGACTTTTTTATTCGTTGTATTATGTATAAACATACGTATGATTGCATAAGTATGTACATATGTAACGTGAAGTATGTAGAAATTTCTTTTGTTTTTGTAAAGCAAGAAAAATAATTGAAATCGCGATATACGTCCCAAAGAATTGTTTTCAATATGCTACATTTAATAAATTTTTTAATTTTTGATTTTTTTCAGATATTTATTTGAAAACAAAATAATATTTCTATTTATTTTTGGTTGTGAAGCTAAGAAAAGCGATATGGATAGTTAATCACATTAATATAAGTTCCACTGAATCTCTTTTTCGATTTTGTTATCATTCTTACAAACAAATTTTTAAATTTTCAGTAAAATTTTTTTTTTTTAAATTCGAAAAAGTTCAGACTGAATCGAATTTGCGCCACCAAATTTCGAATCGAATAATCGAATGGTTGGGCAATGTTCGAAATTCGGAAAAAATCGTACTGGAATTCATTAAAGCCGCCAAATGGTTGTAGGTGGCACTAGTTGTGGAATCAAAATGGCAAACTAACTGATTGCTTGATTATAAATTAATTCTATGCATACATATGTGTTATATTTTGAATTGAATTGAATTGAATATTATTTATTTTTGTACCGGCAATAAAATATTAGGAAAATATGTTTAATAGCATATTTTATTTGTTTATAGCGCATGAGATTCCGAGCCCTAATTATAACAAATTATCAGGATTTGATGTTCGCGCATGCAAAAAAAGCGTCGTAGGGGAAACTGAAAGACCAAAGTGACGGTTCACTTCAGACTTTAAATTTCAGGACATTTTAGGTTTTAAGTCCCCTTTCCCCTCGGAAATATACGATTTTTTTACCACATTTTTACTACACATCTACAGGTAAGGTCTTTAATGACCTCTCATTTTTGAAATTCCCTTTCAAAAGTATTCCCAAACTAAAATCTTCTTAAATCTTTTTCGTCTGATATTGTGCTACACATGTATTTCAATATACTGAAGAACTATCTTGAATTTGATTGTTCGAATAATTTTATTTTATCTTTTAAAACACGTAGCAACCCTCATCAAACATTCTAACTGGTCAAACTAAAGATTTCTTAACATTCTTTCGTTTGACTACGGTATTTTTATATTTCATATGCTTTTTGTATTAGTTAATTGAGTTAAACCTTTCAAACAGGTGGCAGCCCTCTTCAAAAGTATTTTCAAGCTTACTCCTTGCCAACTTTCCTTCGCCTGACATCGCGTTACATATTTTAATTAACTGAAGAATTAAGTGGAATTTGATTTTTTAAACATGTGGCAACCCCGCGAAGTACAATTCAGAAATAAAAGTATTTAAAACTCCTTTCGGTTGATACCCATATTTTAGTAATTCATTAAACTTATTAAATAATTTGAATTTAAGTTCTGAAACAGGTGGCAATCCTCTTTCAACACCTCAAAAGTATTCTTAGCGTTCAAACAAAAGATTTCTTAACACTCCTTCGTTTGAGATCCATATTTTGATGTTTCATATAACTTGTCTATAAGTAAACTAAATTCGACATTTCAAGCAGGTGGCAACCCTCTTCAAATTATTTTCAAACTACTACTTTCTCAAACCCCTTTCATTTGGTACCCATATGGTGATACATACTTTTCTTACCTAATATGATTTTTTAAACAGGTGGCAACCCTCCTATAGTTCAGCTATGAAACAAAGCTTTTCAAAATTATTTCGGCTGATACCCATTTTGTAATAATTGATTTATTTATTTTTTAAATAATTTGAGTATAATTTTTTTAAAGGTGACCACTCATATCGAAAAAGTAAAACCTTATTGCACATACAGTCCAAGCCTTTTAATTTGACACCTCATTTTGTAAAATCGAGCGAACGGTGCAGATCTTTTATCCTGAACAAAAAATGCCTTCGCGTATTATATATATATATAGATTATATATATAGATACCGACTGATTGTAAGCAATTCTTAAGAATCAGTATAATTAGGCAAACAAAATCACTTTCATTCAGTCCATTGCGGCTGCTCATAGCCGTAATTAAATAAAAATATGTATATGAATGTACTTAAGTATGTATGTAGTATACCTTATACATGCATAGGTAATTATAACCGCTGTATGAAAAACATATTTATTACATACATAGATATTGAAAGATAAGCCAATAAAACCAATATAAATATTGAATTAATCAAACTTTAGTGTTTATTTTTGGGGAATCGGACTGACTCATTCTACGGTAAGCGGTATCAGATGTAATACGTAATTGTTTTCTGGATTTGTATTTAATTTTTCTAATAATCGCTTATGCCCAAAAAATCAAAAAACATGGCTGTTTGTGCAGCTCTAATCTACCATGAATCCTTACTTACTGTGTGTTATATAAAATTTCAGCGAACTTAAAATTTGGTTTCTTTGTTGTTTAATAAATAGCCAAAACTACATTTACTATACTTATTTGTTTACTTTTATTTACACAACGGTTAGATCAGAGAAGCCTAACAAACATTGCAATTTCAAGCAAATTAAACTGACCAGATAAACAAAACAAACATTTACTTAATTAAACAATAAATTACGAGTGATAGCAAGTAGGGTTTTAACAGACGGGGCGCAGGTGGTTGTGTGATAAAAATAAGAGGTAGGTGGTGAATCCGATTTTGCCCCACTAATCTAGGAGTTTCTTGAAGTCGCATCTCCATGTTAATAAGCCGCAATCGAACGCTGACATGGCTCCGAATTAACTAGGACACTGCTTCAGAGCCAGCGAGTTCATTGAACGGCTACGTCCACAGATTTGCAAGTTCGGAGTTAGTCCAAAATGCAAGTTCGGAGTTAGTTCAAAATCGCATTGATTTTTGAAAATGTTTTTGTTGAAGGTGTTTGGCATTTATTTTCATATAAAGTATTTTCAAAAAAAAAAAAAAAAATTATGGAAGAGACTGCGTGAAAAAAATTCCAAAAATCAACGGTGATTCCTAGCTACTTAAAACTTGTACTTTATTATAATAAAATTGATTGGGCTACAAATCTGCATACTCAAAAAAAAATCTAAAAATCTGATTAAAAAGTTGAAAACTTGCAAGAAAATTTGCTGAATTTTCGCGAGTTTAGCTCAAAGTTTAGGAATTATATTTTTGTGTTTTTTGTTGTAGAATGAACATATTTTTATACAATATTGGCGGAAATATATTAGCACCCTTATTCTAGAACTCGAATTTCGTAATTCGTAATTCGTAGCTACGTTACGAAAAACAAAAAATTTACATGATGCAACTCTTGCGGAAAAATTAGCAGCATTGCCAGCCTTTCAATTGTTTTTCGAAGTCAGCTGTATGAAGGAGAACATAGTGGCAAAGAATTAAGAAAAAACACTCTTCAAGTGTTTGTTTATAGTAAAATTGGTTGATTTTAAATGTTTTGAGGAAAATTATGGATTCTGATGCATTTGCAGTTATAGCAGCGGAGTAAGAGCGCGCTATGGCAATAGACTCACAAATGTATGCGGTGGCATAGTAACCATGGGTGCATCCATGTCAGCTTCTGGTAGAATTGTTGAACCACAAGCCAGAACTCCTCCTATGCCTGAAGAACTGGTTCTCAATCCAGTTAATGCAATAACAGTTTCTTCCATGCCATTGAAAACATGCAATTTGTTAGGTCCACCACCTGTTGCGCTTGCT